TTGAATGATTCTGTATATAATAAACTCAATATGAGATTACTAGTTTACAGACAGATTTCTCATACAAATGGCAGCATACGAATGTCTGTCCAATGTAGGCGCGCAGTTAGCACCAGGGACGGATGGGACGGGCCCCCTTCAGAATCAGAGTGACCTCGATCCGTCCCCCCCACTTACAGGACAAAAAAACAGCATCTGCTGTCTTCGCATAAGGAAAAAATATCCTTGGTCCCCCCCAATTCAAAAATCCTATCTGTACCACTGGTCCAATGGTGAAGCAAGTACAAAGGACACACTATAAGGTCTGAATTGAAATTTATGCAATGATGCATTGCTGGATCACGCCAGAACAGTTCCAGTCCACAATCCATAGAGTATTCAGGACCTTTGATGTACACGCGACTAATGCGTTCCTGAAAAACCTCACTTTCACTAAAATCGTATGTTAAAATACACATATTCAATGGGAATAATAGGATTAGGGGAATGCGACTCCATAACTTAGTTACTTACACCAAATGAAATGAATTAAATGATAAAAACAGTGATACCATTTGGTTATATCATAAACTATTCCTCTCATGAATTGCCAGCTTCAATTGAACAAGCCGAACTTGTTAACTTTTCAATTGCCAAGAGTTGGGAGGAGTGATGGCCAAAGCAACGCTTCATGAACCATTGGCTGCATTTTCTGACCCCACTAGATGGCGCTCTTGGTTTACTTTCAGCATGCTTTGAGCCCTTTGTTGAACAGAGAGCACCATCAAGTGGGGTCAGAAAATACATGAAGCGTCATTTTAGCTATCATTAGTGGGGAGTATTGAGCCCCAGCCGCCACGTAACTCGGCATGTAACCAGCACATATACAACGGATTGCGGTATGCAGAGGGGCACTGAAGGTAACAGGGCTACAGACAGTCTGTGAAAAGCAAATGTACAGTAGCTGAATTAAAAAACGTTGTTGTGTTTTTATATGATAATGCCAAATATTTAAAGATTTTTAGAACCTAAGACTTTGACTTGTGCAATGCATGAATGTATAAGTTTGATTCTTTTAAATTTGAAAACCAGTTTGATTGATTAACTGAAAAGAACCAGTTCAAAAGAACATCAATATCCTTCGCTTGGATATTTGTTTTTGTGTGCAAGTAATGTTTCCCACTAACACCATGTCGCGTTGCGTAGTGCTTTTCTCCTCAACTGAAAATTGTGCAAATAAAAATGTGATCCCGCGCTGTACATCACTCGTTGTAGCAGGACTGAGTATACTGTCAAACTAGCATCCCATGGAATCCCATCCATCCATCTATCAACTTATCTTGAACAGAGGCACAGTGGAGCTTGGAGGCTCTCTCAATTAGAACAGAGCACAAGGAAAGCAATAATCCTTTCCACTCCTCTGACAATATTTGTCATCGTTCACAAATTTACCACATACACTTTATGTCTTTATTGATTCCTTCTGAATCAGGCCAAGGTAGCAAGTGATGTCTGATTACTGTCCCCTGTTCTTAAGGATAGTCCCTGAAAGCATATGACCAAATGAAACTGAACAGCAGCATGCAGTGAGATGGCCCTAAGCAGCCTATCATTAACAGGGAAATTTCTCAAATTCATCAGCCAGTGCAGCAAAAAGGCCACACAGCTCCATAATTTGTTACTAATGTGTGGGTACCGCAGTATGGCATTTTCAAATTACTGCCAAAAACCTAAATTACCAGCTTATTGATGGTCTACATTAAACAGACACTTATGTTTACAGTTATTTCCTGAGCATCTCAAAATAATTAAAATGTGCCCAATTTATAAAAGATGACAAAAAAAATCTCTTCCTGAAGATGAGTTCAGCATTCTCCAACAGATCTATTTGGTCAGAAAGTTGCCCAAACTTGGGTACATGGAGACACACAGTCTCCCAACTTAGACTCGAGTCAGAACACTTGTGAAGAACAGCCAAGTGTGATAAAGTGTCTTTGGCATGAGATCTGAAACCTTTCAAAAATCCAAAGCATTTTTAATACAGTAATGACTTCATTTCTTTGAAAGCCCTTTGAGCTAATTTCATTAAGCATTTACAGAAGAAAACAATTAGTATGGTAATTACGAAAACTGACATTCTTGCAGATTACTAATGTTATTATTACCATTATGATTCTCTTGTATTTTACTTTTCTTTTATAATTTTGATTCTAACACATCACAATGCAAAGTGCTACATGCCCAACAAATTCCACTGAGCTTCTTAAACCTGTGACATCGACATCACGCTCAAGCCAGGGGTTTGATTCGATTCCTGACCTGGGATCCATTTTCTCGTGAATGCAGAATGCAGCTCTCACAAATGCTTGTTCTGACCCACCTTGCAATCTTAGCCATTTCCTGTTATATTCTTTAACAGTCCCCAGCAGCCAAGATAATGTGGAACTCCCCCTTTGTTTACCTGGGCTTCCTCCAGCTTTCACAGTCTGTTCAGGTGACTTCAAATGCCCTTGCTGTGGGACTGTGTGAGTGTCCTACAATGGTCTGTTGCTCCATTCCCTGCCTCACTTCCTGTTTTCTGCAGATTATGGATTCCTGGTACCCTAATTGGCTAAGAACATCTAGCTATATGTATGCATGCATGAATGAATTATACTGTATATTCTTTGGAATTCACACAACTGCATGTGTGGTTCCTAAGCATTCTGAAACAGCCAAGTGGGAGCAGCCGGGCTAAGAACCAATACCTGAGCCCACAACTTGTACACCATCACCCCCACTGCACCCCCACAAATACAGACACCTTCATTATGGCAACACCGAAAGTGTATTCAGGGAGCTGCTGCCCCAACAACTCCTGGTTTCTGTTTCTGGGGGCTGCAAACTAGGAGTGAAAACTACTTTTAAGTAACAGTATTGAGCTCGAGAGGGTGGATACAAAAAGGGTCTACAGCTGAGAAACAATCAAGGTAAAGTGCAGTGGCTTCCACAACTTCGACCCCCCCCCAGAAGACTACCTTAATAAGAATAACCCCATACACCCATTCCTAGAATAAACAATATATCCTCTGTTCACATCCCAAGCTCTGCCAGGGTTCATAATGCAAGACATAGTGTGTTACGGCAATAGTTAAAAGCACTGGACTGATCAAGGGATAACCGTCTACAAGAAATGACACGCTCTTCTGTGGGCTCAATACCGAGCGCAGGAAGTGGATCGATATTGCAGCACATTAGGCCCATAATGCACCATCTGAGCCTCGCGCTCCTATTCTGTAAAACACAAAACAAGTCCTGCTGCCTGACACAGTTGTCTCACGGGGAGGGGGGGGAGGGTTGGGGGGCGTGACTGTGGCATCGGAGCTGAGTAATTTGGAGTCTGTATTAAAGCAATCCTTCAAAGAGTATGCCAAGGCTAAGGGATGTATGGGAAATGCCAATTTGCAGGCATTGACCAACATATGATTCATGTGTGAGAGAATCAAACCCCCCCCCCACACACACACACACACACACACACTTGTAATTCGCTCCATTCAGCCTCTGCATAAAACACTTTTGACTCATTTTACATAACGTGTAGTGATGGCACAGTGAAAGCTGGAAATTGCATTAGAAGAAAGTCGATAGTTATTTAATTAAATGACACTGAGAGAACAACACAGGAAGGGGGGAAAATTGCCGTGTGCTGAAAGGAAGGGTGGAGGGAGATCTGCACAGGTGGGACGCTGGTGCTGGGATGTTGCTTTTCTGAAAGATGTGAGGTATGAACCCAGCTAGCAAATCACAGCTTCTGTGCATCCAGACCACGCCTCCATCTAGAAGCTGAGCATTATGTGCCAAACACAGTTCTCTGACTTGTATTGCAGAGACAGCACCCTGTGAAAAAAGCTCTCCTTTTTACAGTTTTTCGTCTGATGAAGAAGTGTTCAAATAAACTCACAGATCATTTAAAGAAGCACACAGTCTGAAAGTTAAAATCCTATATATAGGGGAATAGAGGTGTTCAGACTTGGCTACAAAAGAACCACAATCCAGGTTAGTTTATACATCACCCTGAATTAACCCTGTTTCCAGAGTGATGGACACCTGTGTGAACGTGAATGCTAGAGATATACATTAATTAATTGATTAGCCCAGTTTTGATTTTAATTCCCTTTTTCACAACAATACCACTATCTGGACCATATCACAAAGATGTGACACATTCTAGACACATGACGCCAGAATAGCCCCAGAACATTTGATTCATATAAATATTGTATGTTACAACCTGTTTTAATTATCACAAATGATCAATGTATTCCAGGCTCCTAGAAAGGCAAGTCTGACTGATTTGTAAGACAACCTGCTTTGGGGTCCTCCAGGAGTTCTGCCCATAAATTATACACAGACTTACCCGATTCTGCCTCATTGATCTATTGCACTGTAGCCAACCACCTGCCTACTTTAACATATTGCCAAAACACCATAGTAATCACAATTTTTATTCAAATAAAAAATATCTCGTCAATATTTTGAAATCATATATGCCACCTACCAGGAATATTAAAAGGTTTACTTGGCAGTAATATATGAATAAGGCTTTTAATTTGCTACCAAAAAAGATCAGATTTAGGAGGCAGACTATGAAGCTACTGTATTTGAGTTTCTCAGAAAGGTTACACTAAATACTCCTCTTGGGGAGCCGGGAATTCAATCTATCCAGATCATACTTCAGTTATTTACTATCAAAACAATGCAATAACATATTATAATATGACATAATATAGGTGTCATTAAGACACCATCTAAGGATGCATCAGAAGTAGTTCAGCATTCTTCAGGGCCAACTCCTACCATTGTCCTCAATGGTGCTAAGACATTAAATCATCTTTTATCAATCGTTAGCAAGCTAGCATTAAGGAACCTGGTAACGTCACACATTACGACTACATCGCTGCTTCATCCACACTGGGCAAGCACGAACCGCTCCCAAAACAAAATAGCTGAAAACATTTTCAAAGAAAAATCCAACTTGCCAGGTAGTTTGCCGCAGTCAGACCCGGGTATGTAAGATCAAAACGGGTGACCAGTGAGGGCTGCGGGTAAGAAACAAGAAACACCGTCACCAGCAAGTACTGTATACTTGGATATGAAGGAGAGATGGTATAAGGGAGAATGATGAAATTCCAGTCATACTGCATGCGCCACAGTGGCGGGTTTAGAGGAAGAGAGGGGGGGTTGAGGGCAGGGCTGGATGGGGATGTAAAGGAAAAGTCTTACTTCCTGCATTGCACAGATGAGGAAGAGCCTCTGTGAACAGCCTTAAGGACAAAAGCAATTCTGAGATCACCACAGGGACAGAACTAACATTGCTGTGGAGTCTAGTTCTCCTACACAACTACCGATGCTGGAAACGGTGTGAGCCCTTTACCCCAAGTGTAGTGAGGAAATGAATGCTGTGGCCATCGTGCTTTTTTTCTGCTAACGGCTTCACTGGGTTCCAGACTGTTGACAGTGTTAGTAAATTCACACACAGCGCAGTTTCTTTTTTTTTGTTTTTAATTTTTTATTTTTAAATGAGCAGGTGGCATAGCTGGTGCAGTCAAAAATTGTAGATGCCAAAAATTCATGAGGAATAAAGTAACAGGGGTCCGTTGCACAAAACACCTTAACTTTAAGATTTTCCTTAAAGTCGAAGTTAAGGTTCCCTTAAAATATAGTTGGTTGCACAAAACACCCAAGGTTAAGTCTTCTCCTTAAAGGTTTGCTTAAAATGTTCACTTAAGTATTTAGGTTTTTCCTTGGTGTTAAACTTAAGGAATCCCTTAAAGTTGCCCTAATGATTGCACAAAAGACCATAACAACCAAAGTAAGGGGGAAAAAACACAAGGTACTTCTTACTGTATCTTAACCGCAACACGGCCGAGTTCATGGCAATAAATGAAAATGAACGCATCCCGAGAACTGTGCTCTGCGGCTGAGAACACCCAGTGAATACGATTAATGATGAGCAATTGATTTTACCTGAATGACAGTCAATTTATGATTTTATTTATATGGCCCGCAACATATGTTCATAATTCATCATTAAATCTAGCCAGCAGATCAATATTTCAGTTTCACAGAATAAAAAACGTCACGTTATCCTGCTAAATAACACTGGCAAATTTCACCGCCAGCACCAGCAGCATTAGATAGTATATCCGTTAGAGATCAATTTTTTTTCATTGTGGTAATATGGAAACATGCAAAAATGCATTTAATGTGACTGAGACACAACAATAATCCTATCAGTTCAATTTTATCTGCAGTACTTCTCGTTTCTCAGTACTTCCGCATGTCTTCCAAATGAGCACCGGTACTTGTTGTCAACCATTCAGCAAAGTTCATTGCCATATGCCCCACTCAGTAGATCTTAGTTGAGCAAAAAGTACCTACTCATTGTGAACACCCATAAATAAATCCCTCACGTAAGGAGAAATTAAACCTTAAGACATACTTAAGAGGACAACATAAGCTGTTTTGTGCAACCGGCCCCAGGCTCCACACCACACAGACCAAACACATGGTTAAAAAGTTTTCTTGAGCAAAGACACTTGTGAAATTACACATCTTGGGTTTAATGGTGCCATAATTTTATATTCATCTCTAAGATAAAGTCTACATGGTATCACCTTACTTGACGAGGCACAAATACTTAGTAATAACTCAGTTACTACTGAAGTACACATCATGAACAGATAATGAACAAATGTAGTTGCCACTTGACGTAAAAGATTCGTCAGTTCATTAATGGAGAACAAACAAGAGATTAGTATTTCATTTGTGTTATTCCTTCAGTAGTTCATAGAAGTTTACAGAATTAATTAGATGTGGTAACAAATATAGTAATTGCTTGAGATAAAACATGTGTCACGGTTCATTAATGATGAATAAACCTGAGATTAGTATGTAACTAAGACTTAGTTTGTGGTGAATTAATACATAAGTAATAACATACTATATTATTTGTGCCCCGTCCAGTTTAGTCTTACCGAAGACATTACAGACGAAATGATTCAGCAACTGCTATAATGCTCATTTTGCGTGCATTTTCAGTTGCGTTTTTTCATGTGCTGCTACCTAGAGAGACACAAATGAAGCTACCATTAGCATTAATTTTAGCCAAATCATCGTATTTTCGCGTAGCGTGTAGCTGAGTGCGTGAGGCAGATGGCTGTTCTGCTGGCGAGAGCATACGCGCGCGTGCTTTTTATGTGCGCAAGTTTTGATACTAACTAAACGCCGTGCACTATAATTCGGCTTCTTTCGGTTTCATTTGGCGGCTAAAAATTGGCTTTGGTGGGTAGTGAAAGTTTGGGCTACTTTCGGGTATATCGAGCGGGTTTTAATTTTTATAGAAATCAATGGGGGTGAGTTTTTCACTGGAATTCGCAGATATTCTCATTAATCTCGTGGACCTCGTAAAAGGAAATTGTTAAAACAGTGAGAAATAGACTATTATAAATCATGTCAATATGGGGGAAAGTACAAGAAGCAGCACCGAAAGGAATGGGAAACAGACCCAGAACTAAAAATATGGATCGTCCCTGTCGCCAATTATGTGTGTGTGAATATTGTAGTAGGTATATCGAAGTTCAGCTCAATGACTTAAAAGCGCGTGCCACAAATAACACGTGTCTCGCTACATCAGGGTAGCCAACTATCACACATCTGGCGTGACACTTTAAAACACTCACGCTCACGCAAGAAATCTTACACACATCTATTTTGTTGCATTATAGACCTAACATCAGCTACGTCAAAAGCGTTGGATAGTTTTCAAACCAGCAGAGGGTTTACAAAGTATTATATACATGTATAAATCGGTGTGCAGACTGGTTTCGAATTTAAAATCTCACGCCGGCCAGCTAACTAAAGCTGGAAACCCCGCTACATGCTTAGTGTAAAGTCGTTTACAGCACCGCCATCTAGACGGAGATCATACATCAATTAATGTAGTACGCATCCCCCATTTTTATAAACTTCGCTCATCTGATATACTGTACAGTGGTACCTCTGAACTAGAACTTAATCCGTTCAGAACGGATCGAATCCTAAAAAGTTCGAGTTCTGATCGAATTTTCCCCATAAGAAATAATGGAAAACCAATTAATTGGTTTCCGCCCGCAAAAAATTACACCGAAATATGTTTTTTTTTTTTTTTTAACATTTAAACACAAAATGAACCGGACAAAACACGGAAAGCATATACTGTACTAAACACATCTAAGCACATTTATCAAAACAGTAATTTTTAAAGTAAGAAAATAGATGTATCCAAACAATGTGTCCTGCCCCGATCGTCCGCGGCTTCCGTGTGCCACGCCCCCTCGTTAAGCCCGTGTGGAATCCCAGTGTGATCAGATGTTTCTGGTTGTTGTCATTAGTCCTCTGTATTTCTTCCGCGTTTCAGTTTGTTTTCCCAGTCCGGTCATTGTATTGTTCGTCTGCATTTTGCCTGTCTTACCTGTAATTAAACCGGGTACCCTGACGTCTGCGCCTTTGTCTCTGCTCCGTCCTGCTGGGCATGACAATATTATTATAATTAAATGTATTAATGGTTTATTATTAATACTAATATAATTAATAAGAAATCTTCATTTTTAAATGTATTTTATTATATAATAATTATTACTGTTACGGTCTATCATTGTCTAAATGTATTTTTACTGTCTAAATACATGTATTCAGCTAGTGTAAACATGCACGATGCTATCACAGCGAATGCCAGGCTGAGACTGAAGCGTTACCCTTTGTTTCCGCTGACAGATGTGCTGCGTGACTCATTTCCCCGCGCGTACAAGTTATCTTAGGTCGGCGTTCACGGTTTGACTTCTGAGATTCAGATCGAGTTCTAGGTAAAAAAAATATATAATTCCGAACTGGTTGGTTCGACTTTTAAGAAATTCGAGTTCTAATGAGTTCGAGAACTGAGGTACCACTGTATTACAAAATGGGGTAGGTGAACAGGACGCACAGCTGTGATCAAATCTGTTTTAGTTGGTTGGGCAGATTTTTGTCGGAGTGCGCGGGTTTTAGACGTCATTGGGCTGTAAATTCTCATCTCAGTCTGGCAACACTGGTTGCGTACTGACAGGTTCACAATGCAGACAGCAGCTGTAGCTCTGGCCGGAGCGCAGACGTCACCGCCATGACCCGGTGCAGAAAAGTAGTTGGCTTAATACATAGAGAAATCATTTGTGGGCCATATAGTTCTTAGAAAGGATGTATGTGGAATTATGCATCTTATGTGCAGTATATCAAATACAATACATGACGAGACCTTCAAGGGCGTAGATTTAGGTATGGACGATAGGGAGATGTCCCCGTCTGTATTGTGGGAGTACCGTGTGTTTTTATCGGGGCGGGGGGTTCAGAGATGATTTGTTCCCTACCATTGCGGAAGCCAAACCCTAACTCTTGTATTAATATATTTGTATGCACCATTGAGTTTATAATCTTAAGATTAGTCTACCACAGAAATTAGTCAATGAAAATACAACTTTTAGGGTTTTAAGGTTTTTTTAGCCCATCTCACTAAAATTACATAAATTCTAATATAGCCAGCAATTACTCTTATTATTAAATACCTCCAGTTAACTAAATGGAAATAAGGAAGTGCCTGTCTTTATGTGTAGGTGCAGGTATGCATATGCATAGCAGAACATAAAAAGCAATCTTAATGAAACAGTTTATTATCATTAAAGAGCAAACAGATGGACTGGGTTTTGAACTTATAGAAATATGCAGAGAAACAGAATCTGAACTGACTGATCAACCCGAAACGTTACATTAAACATTAAAGTAGCAAAAAAATCTAATCATAATGAATATATAAACACCAGACCAGCTGTTTCAATGATATAAAATATCACTGGTTGATGGATATGAAAAACAAGTGTACAATTTTAAAGCCAAAAACGTAATATTATAATTCCAGAAAACGCTTTCCCTTTTGGTAAAGGGCAGAGAAATATTAATGCCACTTTAGCAAAGCAATAAAATCTTGGCTGTCTGTCAAAGCATTCTACTGAATGAATTTGTCCTGAATAAATTACAGGCATTATACTGGCTTATAAATTCATATATATTTATATATTTTTAATATAAAAATTCAGTATATAGAAAAACATCTTAATTTTTTCCAAAATACAGTAAACATTGTTGTTGCTCTTTTTCAGATATGGAATAATTAATGTTTAATTTATGTGAAAATCTGACTTTTTTTACTGAATAAACTATTTTTCACTTTAAACCTATAATCCCACTTCCTGCTTTTTCAATGCTTCATCTCTGGCGTCCATCTTTGACCACTAGTCTTTGCCAACAGGTGTCTCCCAAGCAGCAGTACTTGGTTTGTAGCTGATCATTATCTCTTGTCACCCTGGAATAGTTTAGGTATGGAATACCCCCACCCTCAATGGAAAAACCTAAATATAATAATGATCCATATAACTGGCATTTGTCAGAAGGGGACATCATACCTTTTTCTCAGCAGCTGCTCTCGAGATATATTTTCCCATGAGCCCTTGCCTGGCAGCTCGCTAACAGCAGTGACCCATCCGAACCACCCCATGCCCTGTGGCTCAGTGGGCCTTCCTGCTAACTCTTCCTGCTAACTCTTCCTGCTAACTCTTCCTGCTAACTCTTCTTCTCCATTCGTTGGCTACCAGCCTACCAAGGTTCTCACCTTACCCGGCAGCATATCGATATCGCTGGCCACCTGTCTGCCGGCGCCCCCTGCAACCCCTTGGCAAAGTCGCAATCCTTGTCATCTGTGATCTCTTAGTAGGTTGACTGAGTCATAGCCAAGCAGGGCAAACATTTACCAGAAAATGTGTATCTGTATCCAAATGTATACATGTAATGTAATTGCAATGTATAAATATGATTTAAAATGATAGAAGACTGCTTTGTAACTCATCTTTTAAAACATTGTTGCTTCTTATAATAATGACCCACAAATCTTATACTGATGACCAGAAAATGCCTACACTTATTTAGGATTTTAACCTTAATAAAATGTCTTAATATAATTTCCTTTGAACTCTTCAATGCAAAAGCAAAACATGTAACAATACAGATCATTGTTTCATTTTCATTATAATTCATTATGTTATGTGGAGGTTTTGTGCGGGCAATTTAGTCAATGTGTGAAAAGACCGCCACCTAGTGCTGGTTTGTTTCATTACAACTGGGAATATCAAGTCATGAGCTGATGGAAACCTTTAGTTATTTCATTACATGAATTTACTAAAATTCTTTCTTGTGTCTGGTGGTTTCAATAAAAGAATAAGGAGAGAACTGTTTAAACAACAAAAAGAGAAAACATGCATATTTGTATGGAAAGAAACTTTTTAATAGCCATGTACCGGCGTGTCTCAATCAGTTTTAATCCTAAATTATGCTTAATAAATATTTATTCAAATATTAAATACCACAGACAAAAAAAATCATGTTGTTTCAAGCTTTCAGACTATCGACACACGGCCCCCTTGAAACTCAGACAAAACACCCTTGTGATCTTGGCTTTGACTAGACGGTCAAATCACAATCACCACAGGGCTGTGTTTCATCATGTGTTCAGCTCCAACTAACTAGTTCCAAACATTTTTTCCGCTTTTCCTGCAGTTCTTAAGTTTGTCTTGGGTATAAATTGACCAAACTACCTGTCTCAAGTCAACAGTGGAAGGAAAACAAGCTGAACATAAGGGCACACAACCAAAAACTGTGAACACTTAGGAGTTATTTTCTGTGTGGGGGTGTATATATATATATATATACTGTATATATGTAGAATATCTCAAATGCTGGCTTAGAGGATGTCTGAGAGATACCAACCTCTTTCAAGGACGTACGTCCTGAACACCGTGTACATTTTTATATTTTACTGCCTGGTGCTATTTTCATCTGATATGTTTCTTTAACGAATCTGGTATTTATTTTTTGTTCTTTAAATTTTACTTAGGCTGCTGTGTCTACCTGCAAACTAGTTAAGAGAGGCTTGCTGGAGACTCAAGAGTGGAAGTACAATGGCATTGTGAGAATGAAAGAGATACGAATGGGCAATCCAGTAACATCCTGCACGAGTAGAGGGAGGGGCGCCATGCGACAGTCACACCCCAGGCCACATGCCGCAGGATGACCCCACTGACCTTGAGGGGGGAGATGTGCGAGTGGGACACGTAGCCGTGAACGTTCTCGATCTCCGACAAGTTCTTCTCCGACACATGCACGAGCTCTGGGGCTCGCGCCTCATTGGTCAGCCGGGGGAAGCCATGGTCTTGGGGGGGTGAGTCTTCATCCTGATACCGGTACTGCCCAGGGGATAAAGGGATGTGGGGGGGGGGGGGTGGAAGTGGATGGAGGAATACAAAGACAAAGATAGGACTGTGTAAAGGGTCTGCCCCTATAATACAGACAATGTGACAAGTAATGCAGATGGACAATACATACAAAATATAGAAAGTGGTACATTCCATTACATCAGACATGTTTTTTAGTTCGCTGGCACACCATGTGACACCCTGAGTAGGGGACTTGGAGAGGCTTGGATACCCTGGGAGATTCAAGGGGTACAACCCTTTATAGGGGCCTCAAATTCAACCATGGCCCCCCTCTCCACTTGGCACAATACAGAGATTTTTTAGATCAAAAGTATCTAGAGTAGAGGGGGCCCCAAGGTGACATTTTGTCAGGGGGCCCAGAATTTTGAGCTCTGCCCAAGGCCCAGAGGCGGCATCATCAGTAACATCACCCTTAGAACTCTCAACTGCAGCTGCAGCCTCTCCTTCCAGACTCGCCACAATGAAGATCCAAAGAGCGGAGAGAGAGTGAATCCACACACTCCGGATGGAAATGAAGCCAGAAGATGAGCCTTGAAAGCCTGATGGGTGGCACCCCCCTCCCCCCCCCACCCCATTCAAACCCCTCTTTACACTTCAGCTCTCAGGATGAATGTACATCGCCGCCTGTGACGTGTCCCGGGTTGGAAAAACAGCAGCAAGGGGAAGAAGTGGCAGGAACAAGCTTCTGGCTGTGGGATTTATGGAAGATGAGCGGTGTGGGAGTGGCATGGATGAGGCGGGGATGGCATGGTGGGGGGAAAGCCCCCCCCAGGCTGTCTCACCCAGGGAGCGCTCATCAGGGCCGGATTCATACATGCTGGCGGGGGCTGGGCAGTGTGCGGAGACGCCTGAACCGCAGCCGGCCTGTTCTGTGGACAAGAGAGAGCATCCAGCACAGTGACTATGCGGCGTGGCACCGACACTCCGGTCAGAACCTACACCCCCCTCCCCGAGAGTGAGCCATGACACCCAGTGCAACACAAAGACAGACAGACTAAAACAGGTGCTGCTGCAGAGAAACGGGCACAGACATCCAAAAAAACAAGCATTTAGATGCCACAAGATAGATACAAAAATGACAGACTCAGGATGACAACACAAAAATCACTCACTGTACAATAACAGCAGATTACAGATCAGCAGAACAGTCACACATGACATGGGTCTCCAGGGTCACTGCAGTAAACTGGACCAAACTCTGTTAAAATTAGCAACAACTTACATATATCGATCCATCCGTCCATCCATCCATCCATTCATCCATCCATCCGTCCAATTGCTTATGTATTACACGGACTAGGCAGGGCCTCGACTGCATAAGGCACAAGACAGGGGACACCTTGCATGGGATACTAATCCACTACTGAGCACACAAACCCATGCACGCACACACACACACACACACACACACACCTTTCATAACAGATTATCCAACTCAGGGTGCCTCTAAGCCTGGAGCCTATCCCAGGAAACCCTGGGCACAAGGCAGAGGATCACCCTGGAAGGGATGCCACCGCACCATAGGGCACATACTCACGAACACAATTACACCCTATGGGCCATTTCAGAGACACCAATCTGCGCATTTTTGGACTGCAGGAGGAAACCGGTGTGAACCTGGGGAGAACATGCAAACTCCACAGCAGAGAGTCGCCCACTGTCGTGTGTTAAATCTGAACTGCGGGAGAGGCTTACGGAGCTACATCACTGAACTGCACTAAGGAGTGTTTCATAATCATTGCTGAAGACGGCAATTACCTAAAATGTACATTTAAAAGAATAAATGTAGGGGAATTAACAAACGTGTGAATCACAAAGAACAACTTCAGGCTCAAAATGGCCTTTTGTCACCAAGTAAGACTTGTACTGACTCAAACACTTGATTTAAAAAAGAAATAAATAAAAAAATCAAAAGACCATCGGCTGCCTACTTTATTGGCTGGTTAAGTCCAAGGTGCCACCTCCCACACAGAAAACGCTGTCCCCCTTCTAAATGTCACACCAGCTCTGGAGCTCTAAGCACAATTCCGTTGCCGTATGTCTGTTCTGGTACCTCCAAAGAGGCGTCCGTGCTTCGAGAAACAGGCAGAAATCGCACCTCCTCATCGCAGACATCCGGCCCCATATGTACCGTTTAATTATATGCACGAAAGGTCTGTTCCAATGCACCCGTGACGATGCTCCCTGATTACTCACTGTGTTAATTACAGATGCACAAAAAGGACGCCGCGCTATTTTGGATAATCCCTCACGACGCTCTGCAAAGGCACGAAGGGCTTTGTGGGGGGGGGGGGTCTATAACATTTTTGATTAGCCCTCCGATGGAAACGTGAAGGTGCAGGGTCACGAGAATCAATATCTTTCTTCCGCCCCCAATGCAAAGTCCAAGAAAAGTACAGTGTTCAGGCTACTTCCAAGACTGGAAAGGAAGTTCCCCCAGTGTACCTTGATTTGATGTCATGGGGGATCCCCAAAGGCGCAGGAAATGGCTGATAAATAGCAGCCAACAGAGTCCCACAGCTGAGAACCGATTTCGGCGGTCATGTGACCGCCGGTGTAGTTTACGGAGAATCTGGAGGTTTGAGAAACACTCCAGGTAGAGAGTGAGGAAGCTGCATACCCCACCACAGCCCGAAACAGCCCTGGCAGGTTCCAGAACCTCAATTACATTTACAGTATAATATATTCCAGTAATACATATCCATCTCCTTTCAGATGGCAGCTGTGCAGTATCTGCACATGCTTCCTCACAGAGCAGCCTCTTTCTATATTACATGCTCCAGCAGAATTTTATCCTAGCTGTAGGAATGAAACATCAGCATGTCTTGCGGCTGACAGTTAAGCAGTGTCTAGGCCGGCGGTGAAATGGAGACCTCTTCTTCCCCAGAGCCCTTCGGAACTCGTCAGCAAGCGTTTGCAAACCCACGGCACAAAGCCGAACCCGGGACCTTGACCTGCTGCATCGGTCAGCGAGCACATATATGCAGATGCCAGTCAACCCTAAAAGGGCATCGACTTAGAAACCATGCGAGGAGCAAGATCGAGACAAAGTGAAACTGGGCTTCGACCAGCTTCGGCAGCTATACAGCAGCCCTGTGAATACTGAATGGTCACCTCTGAGGACAAGCAGGGACAATGGGATGAAGCCAATGACCCCCTCTGGTGACCCCATAAAGTAAAATTCCCTTGATGGCCAATAACCTACAGTAGGTCAGTGTGTGTCTTATGGGATTCAGGATACATTCTCCTATTACCAAGTTTGAACTGATCTTGCAAAATAATTTGTCAAAAACTAAACTGAAACAGGAGTGTGGCTTCTTTTCAGAGTGGAGCAAGCAGTAGGCATGGGATCTGCGGCCCTCCATGCCAGCCCCCCCTACCCTGCACAGGAGGGGCAGCGCACTCCACACCCAGGCTTCAATTGCAAATGGGGGTTATTTAAAGGCCCCCATTATCTGCCGCATTTGCACAAGCTCACGGGGGGGGTGGGGGGGGCGGTATGGGTCCCCGTGATTTTATATAATTACCATGCCGAGGCAATCAGCAGGCACTTAGATTGGGTGGCAGAAAACCAATGATGCTGCCTGGCACATCGCTGCAGGCCAAGCAGCCACAGGGGGGCGCTGCAATGCACCACGCACCCAGGCTTGCCAGCCCACCTCCACGGCACAGGTAATCTCACTATGTCAGGCAAATCCAGCGATGACGATATCTACAGCATAATCAAGGCTTAATTAGCAGAAATTGCGCTGAGGCTCCAATTCTACAGTGCCGGGGAAAGCTCGCTTTCATCCGACGTTATCCAAGTCATTCTGGGAATGACCGTATTTTGAACTCTAAAGAATTTGAAAGCACTAGAATTTACATTAGCTCTGTTTTCCATTCTTTATGCATACTGTAATACATAGCTTCAATTATTCTGTTCAGCAACATGTTCCTGGCAGAATAGGACATTAAACCATGTGACATCGTGGTGAGAGAACGGAATAGGGCCTTAATTTGCATACAGGGGTGTCAAATGTATGCAAATTAAGTGAAAAGGCAGGAAAATTAAACGGGCCTAAGATCAGGCTGGAGGAGGGAGCGTGTAGCTCGGCCATCAGCCTGACGTCTTGCTTCTTTTGGACCTCAGAAACTCATTCTTGTTAAAATGCTTTATTCAAAGAGTCCTCAGGGAGTACTTGTTATCTCCATGGTGGTAAGCAGTTGGTAACTTGTCAAGCTTTTATGTAATCTGTGCTCTAATCCAACAAAAGGTCATGAGCATACATCTCCATTCCGTCATGCTGCCATTTTTTTTCCCCCCTGTCATGACTTGACGATCCACCGGGAATCCACTGCCACAAGGCGCACTGCCGCTGGGGAGGAACACAAATGAGATGCGGCTGCCAGGCGTTAATTGCCTTGTCCGGAGGACAGGATCACCACACAGACCATGCTGAGGACAGCAAGAATGTCCACCGTAAGCAAATTACAACCCAGAGAACATCATCCCAGGGGGACACCTCCCTATCAACGCACCGATGCTGGCCCACTCGGTCTCATCCACCCTCCCTATCAACGCACCGATGCCGGGTGACCCAGTCCCATCCACTCTTCCTAATAACGCCCCAATGCAGGGCGACCCGGTCCTATCCGCCCTCCCTATCAACGTGCCGATTCCAGGTGACCCAGTCAGATCCACTCTTCCTAATAACGCCCCAATGCAGGGCGACCCGGTTCCATCCACTCTTCCTAATAACGCACCAATGCAGGGCGACCCGGTTCCATCCACTCTTCCTAATAACGCACCAATGCAGGGCGACCCGGTTCCATCCTCCCTCCCTATCAACGTGCCGATTCCAGGTGACCCAGTCCGATCCACTCTTCCTAATAACGCCCCAATGCAGAGCGACCCGGTTCCATCCTCCCTATCAACGTGCCGATTCCAGGCGACCCAGTCCGATCCACTATTCCTAATAACGCACCAATGCAGGGCGACCCGGTTCCATCCTCCCTCCCTATCAACGTGCCGATTCCAGGCGACCCAGTCCGATACACTCTTCCTAATAACGCACCAATGCAGGGCGACCCGGTTCCATCCGCCCTCCCTATCAACACGCCAATGCCAAACGACCCAGTCCCATCTACTCTGAACATATATGCAAAGGTGTCTGGGATGGCATCGTTAACCGGAGAGGAGATTCCTCTTTTACTGTGTTCCCTCTCATTCCACATGACCCTTTATTATGAACAGGTGTCGACAAGTCAGTGCTGCCTCCTGGCCATATAAACAGTACTCTTCCAGAATGTTCTGTCCTCTGTCTGGGTCTTTCGTCTTCACAATGGCATGTTTATTGTTGCAATAATTAAGTCCATCCATCTTGTTGCTGGTTGTCCTCTTCCTTTTTGACCTTCAACTTTTCCCACACATTACTGCTCTTTACCAAAGCACAGGGTCTTCTCAAAAAATGCCCAGAATAAGATACGTGTTTCAAGTGTCAGTTATGGCTTCATTTATGAACTTCATCAACAGTCCACTTGTTTGTTTCCCAAAGAATTTCCAGGTTTTCTCCAACACCAACGTTCGAAAGCATCAACATCATTCATATCTCGTCTCTTCATTGGCCAGCTTTCACATCCACATAGACAACGGAATCACCATCTGCTTGAAATTTGTTTTACGGTGATCCCCTCATGATCCCGGTGCATTCATCCCTAGCTGTACTATTACAGAACACTTTGAATGCTCTTTTATTTTGTTTTAGGACAAGCAGAGCTCATAAAACATTCACTCCTATGCGTGAATCATTCCGAAACATCACATTTGATGGTTCAGTAGTATGAGGCCCTCGATGTGAGACACTTTCATCTCCACCAGAAAAATTTA